CTACACTGATTGGCTAAGCACAATAATCCTTCCAATCCTTCCAGAGAGCCTCATTTGTATATAATCTTGAAAGGCGGTTTTGTTGTCGTTAAACTCAAGAGTGTTTGATGAAGATTAAGCCACCTAAGAGGTGGCACGGGCATGAATAGCCCGTAATTAAACTCAAGGCACTCATGGACCACTTGAACCCATGAGCTATAGTGAGAGGAATCGAAGAACACACACACACACACACACTTAAGGGGGATTTAGACTTAATGAGTGTAATGTTAAGTGGTCATTGAAGGTGTTTATACGTGGTTTAATGACTTGAATACCTCTTCGCCCAGTCCTATTATCTTTGTGATAGGGGGGGGGGGGTGTCTCTGATAGTCTCGTAATAGTAATTACAATTCATCGCTCTAGTAAAGGGGAATAAATATATTAATCTCGTTCAACAGTTGGAGAACATCGTTAAAATAGAGAGGTGTGGGGGGGGAGGAGGGGGGGGGATATTGGAGAAAGGGGGGGAACTGGGGAAGTGGGTGAAGAAAAGGTCATATGATGTTGGGGGGGGGGAGGTGGAGGGGGGGGGAGAGAAGTCCAATACGAACCACCTCGTCTCAGGCCATCCGAAGCCAAATTTTTCATCAAAGGAGTGGTCTGAGGGAGGCTGGCGAGGAGAGATCACCCGCTCCGATACACAGAAGCTGCTCCGCCGCACTTCATTCGTTCGCGACAATGGGCGGGGAATATGAGCCGTGGGTCCGTGGGCGTTTGGGGCGGAGGTGGCGTGGCGCGAACTGGTGTAAATATGTCCGATGGGGAGGGGGGTAGGGGCCGTGGCGTGGCCGGCCGGTCCACCGTAAACACCGCGATCACCGCTGATATGATCGCCAGAATTTGCATATTACGACAGTTCCCGGCACGAATTTGCATCAAGGCATATTTTGTTTTTTTCCTCCCGGAGTTCCAAATACGGTGTGCCTCTTTCCTTAATATTCTTCAATATACTTTTTGACTTTATTCCACTCGTATATTGCCTTCAGGGCAAAAAGGATTGCATGTTGTGTCGACTCGGAGAGAGTAGATGGTGAATGTGGCTTACGTAAGCCATATTCTGGCCAAAGGATACGAGACAGACTAACAGACTTGAAGATTGCCTTTGGATGAGTTCGGTGGCTTCTGCCCGCGGGCCAAGAGGAGCATTACATAAGGTAATGAGGAGGATTTCTTGGCAGTATAGTGTTCCCTAGGGGATATATGCGCAGTTTTCTTACAAGAAATTCTTTGTTATACTGTTAATATGACACCGAGGACTTAGAAGGTGCCAGGCTTGTGCTCTGCTCGGACCTGTTAACTGGGCACACTGGACCCTTATGCTGTTGTTTTGGGTGTAAACAAGTGTCCTTGCGTGTCCTTGGGTGTCCTTGGGTGTCCTTGGGTGTCCTTGGGTGTCCTTGCTTTCCTTTATCTTCCTCAAGTTGTTTTGAATTATTTATATTTCAAAATATTTGGCGAATTTATGAACAATTGAAGTACACAAGTGTGTCACTTCCCGCCCCGTCACTCTCAACTTCGTCACGCTGCGATTCCTCAGAGTGCAGTCACTCCCTGTACTCTATTAGGTCCCGTTACGATTCACTCACGCCCTGTCCTCTGCCCTACTCGGCCCTATATAGACCCTTACTCTTGAGACCACGCTCCCCAGTGACCCAAGGGTCGCAGTTCGCGCAGCGCGGACCTCAACCATTTGGTCGGAAACCTGCGCCAACCTGGTGGTGTTTGAGTCTCTGAGAGTGCGCATATCAGGAGTCTGAACTCTCTCATCCTTTCCCAATTACTTATGTTTTGTTTTAAATCTTTCAACTCCTTTTAATCCAGGTCGTGTCAAATCCTCCACTCCATAAATCCTGGTCAGTTCAACTCCTTCACTCCATAAATCCTGGTCAGTTCAACTCCTTCACTCCATAAATCCTGGTCAGTTCAACTCCTTCACTCCATAAATCCTGGTCAGTTCAACTCCTTCACTCCATAAATCCTGGTCAGTTCAACTCCTTCACTCCATAAATCCTGGTCAGTTCAACTCCTTCACTCCATAAATCCTGGTCAGTTCAACTCCTCCACTCCATAAATCCTGGTCAGTTCAACTCCTTCACTCCATAAATCCTGGTCAGTTCAACTCCTTCACTCCATAAATCCTGGTCAGTTCAACTCCTTAACCCCAAGTTAAGGGAAACATTTCGAATTCTCAGCTTTAAGAACCATCGAACTATTTCAACGTTTAAAATCCCATTGACCACGTCAGATCTCTTCAACGCTTCAACGTCCAACAAAATTTTACCTCCTTCAAGTTCCTAATCTTAAGCCACGTCAAGTGCTATCAATTTCAGGACAAGACTGGTGATTTCCTTGTGACATCCTGTTCATTGCTGTCGTTGAGTGAAAGGAAATATACAAGGCAACTTCTTGAGTGTTTGAGAGTAACTGAACTCTTTGCTGATTGTTGAATGTCCAGGTACCTTCATAATTCCCTCTTAGCTTCATCCATCGCTCTATCTCTTCTCCTCTTCTTCTCTCTCTCTATCTACCTACGTTCATATGCCCCCCCTCTCTCTCTCCCCCTCCCTCCCCACAAATCTGCGTATCACCCTCTCAATCTATCTTCCTACCTGCTTCACTTGCACCCTCCTCACCTACCTACCTACCTACCTCCCTCCCTCCCTTCACAGCCAGCTGTCGTCTGATGATCCCACCAGCTGGTTCCTCGGGCAGTCAGGTGGCACAGGCAGTGCCCTACTCACAGAGACTAGTAACATAAGTCAGCTGCAGACCCTAGTTTCAAAGGCTAGTTCTTGCTAAAACCAATAGATCTGCTGCCTCGTTACTTACTTACCTCCAGCCTGAGGTCAAATTAAAAAAATGGCTAATAAGAGGTCAGATTCAAAATCCGTTCTTTTCTAATCCCCCCCTGGTTGATTGGTTGATTATAGATACCCCCACTTAGATACATCGAAGCCTCGGTTCCTAATCAGTCCACCTAATCAGTCCGGTTCCTAATCAGTAGGCCACCTAATCCACCAAGATTAGAAACCACACTCCCCTAGTCCCCCCCCCCCTTTCATTCATCGTGAAAATGCAGAGAAGTGGGGATGAAAAATGGTGAAAGACGAAGCCTGGTATGTAAGATGGGATACCAGTTCCTCGTTTTCTGTGCAATGTTTACAACCTCCCCATTTTCTGTGGCTGGAGTTGAACTCTGCAGGCGTAAATAGCGGCTGTAATTTTCGTGTCATTTCGTTGATATTAGGCGTGAGCGGTTAGGGGCGATTACAGGCCATTGTTTCGTAGTTAGTGGTACAGAAGTGGATGAAGAAATTACCCGTGGAATTGAGATTGAAGGGCATGAACTCGACACTGAACGAGGGTGGGAAGGAGGGGGATAGGAAGGGAGGTGGAGATAGGAAGGAAGGGGCATAGGAAGGAAAGGGGTATAGAAAGGGAGAGGGTAACAGAAAGAAAGGCACAGGAAGAAGAAGAGGAGAAAGTAACTGAATATTAAAACTAATACGGTAGATTACGGAATCTAATTACGGTAGATTAATGCATTATCAAGCAACTTTCTATCGCTCAATAAATTCCCGTTCACTATCATCAAGTTCCCCCTCTCACTGTCAACAAGCTCTCACTCTCTCTCTCTCAAACTTATACTCACCATCACCAAACTCTCACTCACCATCACTGAGCTCTCAGCATCACCAATCTCCCACTCACCAGGAAGCACCACTACTTCAGCACTAATCCCACCGTGATCTCAGGCAGATGCTCCACTCTACCATCTGTGGTGATTGCTGGAGTGAGAAGCAGGTAGTGATATACTCCCTTGAACACACTCATACACACTCATACACATAGTCATACATATGCATGGCATGTATTCAACCTGCAATTTGCATTCGGCAGTTGGTGTAGTTAGTGTTTGTGCGTAATGGTCTAACCAAGGGGGATAACCTCGTAGCCCCGTCGCTTGCATCTGCTCTGATGGGATGATGCTGTGGAACACACACGGGGGATGGGATGATCCTGTGGAACACACACGGGAGATGGGATGCTGCTGTGGAACACACACGGGGGATGGGATGCTGCTGTGGAACACACACGGGGGATGGGATGATGCTGTGGAACACACGGGAGATGAAATGATGCTGGTGGAATGAGACCTGTCCTCAAAATTGTAATTGTTGGATTGCAATTGACAGATGTATATAATAATTGTATAAAAATATAGCATTAATTTCTTATAATGGTTTCATCTGAGTTATTGATTTGTCGTTTTTCGTCTCCTCCTCTGCCAAGAAAATTAATTTATTTTGGAAGTCTTTTTTTTCTGATGTAAGAAGTAATGCTGGAGTCCTAAATTCCTCCAAAGTTTTATTGGTATAGGAATTATTGGTATAGGCATTATTGGTGTAGGAATTATCGGTACAGGAATTATCGGTTTTATTTTCTTCAGCGGATGGTAAACTCACGTATTTGCCTGCTTACAATAATTTATTTAGTTTACTTGTGTAAATTTAAACCCGTTGTTGTTCTTGCGCTCTCTCTCTCTCTCTCTCTCTCCTCTCTCGTCTCTTGCGCTCTCCTCTCTCTCTCTCTCTCTCTCTCTCTCTCGCTCTCTCTCTCTCTCTCTCTCTCTCTCTCTCCTCTCTCTCTCTCTCTCTCTCTCTCTCTCCAGGTCATGAATAACACATTCACACATTTATTAATGTGTACATCAACTACCCCCAAACTCGTCATTCTAAGCCAGCTGATCCTCACTAACCCACCCAGCCCCCCGTCCACCTAAGCCAGCTGATCCCCACCAACCCACCCAGCCCCCCGTCAACCTAAGCCAGCTGTTCACCACTAACCCACCCAGCCCCCCGTCAACCTAAGCCAGCTGTTCACCCACCAACCCACCCAACCCCCCGTCAACCTAAGCCAGCTGTTCACCACTAACCCACTCCTCCCCACGCCAACAGGGGATCGAGGTGCACCAAGACAAGATGGCGCGCGTGTTGGTCAACGGAAACAACCTGGTACTCAACAGAGTCCGGCGGACTCAGGCCGGCGAGTACTCCTGCAGGGCCACCAATAGCGAGGGCGCGGGCACCAGTCCTCCCGTCAACATCACCGTTCTATGTGAGTGTCTTCCGAGAGTCCGTGAGCTGTGGGAGCCGTCTGAGAGTGTCTTCTGAGAGTCCGTAAGCTGTGGGAGCCGTCTGTGTCTTCTGAGAGTCCGTAAGCTGTAGGAGCCGTGTGTGAGTGTCTTCTGAGAGTCCGTAAGCTGTGGGAGCCGTCTGTGAGTGTCTTCTGAGAGTCCGTAAGCTGTGGGAGCCGGCTGAGAGTGTCTTCTGAGAGTCCGTAAGCTGTGGGAGCCGTCTGTGAGTGTCTTCTGAGAGTCCGTAAGCTGTAGGAGCCGTGTGTGAGTGTCTTCTGAGAGTCCGTAAGCTGTGGGAACCGTCTGAGTGTGTCTTCCGAGAGTCCGTGAGCGGTGGGAGCCGTCTGTGAGTGTCTTCTGAGAGTCCGTAAGCTGTGGGAGCCGTCTGTGAGTGTCTTCTGAGAGTCCCTGAGCTGTGGCAGTGTTTTTTGAGAGTCTGTGTTTCTCTTTCAGCCTTAATGCCCACTCACATTTTCTGAGTCTTGAACATCTTCTTGTTTTTCCCCCTGGAGAATGTCTGTAAGTCTTTGGGGGCCCTGTGTAAATCCGGAATACCCTCTGTGGATCCGGGTAAGCCCTTTCTGAGTACAATGGACCTTCTGTGACTCTCAATAGTCGATCCTCTGTGAATACTGGAGGTCCTCTGTAGGTCTTGGAGGTCCTATATGAGCTCTTGAGGCCATCTGTGAGCCCGAAGGACCTTCTATATCTTTTGGAAGCTCTCTGTGAGTCCCCAAAACTCTCTGTGAATCCTGGAAGGCCTTCTATGAGCTCCGAGGGCTCTTTGTGACTCATGGAGTCATTCTGTGAGTCCTGGTATCCTATGCAAGTCCTAGGACACTGTGAATTCTGGAGGCCCTCTGTGAGCACTGAAGATCCTCTGGGAGTCCTAAAGACCCCCAAGGAGCCCTGAAAACTCTGTGTGATCCCAGGAATTCTTCCATGAGTACCAATGGACTCATCGAAATCCCAGTGTTTTAACTGTGACCCCTAGAAGCTCTGAGTCGCGAAGACCCTTTGTACGAGTCCCAAGGGACCTCTATTAATTCTAGGGGCCCGTCTGTGAGCTCTAGAAGCCTCTGTGAATTCTGGATGAAGCTCTCAATGAGTCTTGAAGACTTTCTGTGACAGAGGAGAGGTTCTCTCTGAGTCCTAGAAATTTTCTATTAACATATTTTCATAAAGATTTCTCAGGACATTACCATAAACTTTATAAGCGTCTGTTAGCAGTCTTTCCCTCTCCTAACTCTCTCTCTCCCCTCACTCTCTCCTTCCTTCACTCCCTCACTCTTTCCCTTCCTTCTCTCCTTGCCTCTCTCTCTTCCTCTCACCCCCCCCCCCTTTCCCTTTCTCCTGTCAAATGTTGAATTTGTAAATGACTTTTTTCTTATTCATTTGGTGAGTGTGCGGGATTCCAATCCAGTAACGACTGCAGGTCTTTAAAGCGACGGCCGTGCTGCTTACAGGGCAGGCGTTCGATCCCCGATGGTCCAAAGGGATTGAAGCCAGCGTGGCTCCGATCGCTGCGTGCTTCTGTTCCAGCTCCTTGTCCTCATAATCCATTCTATGCGGTATATAGGGATATTCTCCTCATAATTACTCTGCCTTCTGTTATCCTGTCTCCATAACAACCCTTTTTTTAAGGGAATTTTAGTCTTTTTTGAACGTGTCTTTTAAGCCTTGGAAGGAGTTTGCCAACATTGTGAGTCTGTGTGAGTTTTTGAGAACTTGTTATCCCCTTCTTTTGTTTTTATTTCCTTGTGAGTTTATAAGTATTTCTGGAAATTTGTAATAAGAGTTCTTATGAGTTTGTGATTTCTATACTAGTTTCTGAATGTTCACGGTAGTTTGAGTGATCGTTTGTAGTTTATGAGTGATCCTTGTAGTTTTCATTTAAAGCTTAGTCATTTATAGATCATTTAAGCTATATGGTTTTATGAGTGTTCCGGGTAGTTTTAAGTATTTCTGGTAGATTATAAGAGTACAAGTAACTTAAGTAACAAGTTCATGGGATTCTGTGGAATGACTGTTGTTTAACTGCTAACCTATCAAGTGTTCATACTCCTGTAACTAACTCACCAACTGCTCCTGTGAATCTGAAAGTGCTCCTGTGAGTTTGGAAACGGGGTCCTATGTTTCTGAGATTTTCTCACTCCGGTATTAACAATTGAGCGCGGCGTGTATAGAGCTCAATGTGTGTGTCCTGTATACGAGTGACAGGACCGCCATCAGAGTCCCATGTACACTTAAATCAACGTATAACTGGATAGGTGTCAGGGAGGTCCTAGGTACACATAGTCACGTAGGGAATGTATTGCGTTGTAATTTGGAAATGTTCTTATGTATACTGGATATATATATTTATTACGCGAGCGAGATAATGAAATGTGGATGGGGATTACCGTAGATTTGAGTCATCTGTTTGTTTAATTGTATATGTGTCAGTTTTCTGTGTACCCTTCTCTATTTCTCTCTCTGTTTATTTTCTCTCTCTTTATATTTTCTCTTTGTCTATTTTCTCTCTTGTCTGTTTTCTCTCTCTGTCTATTTTCTCTCTCTCTGTCTATTTTCTCTCTCTCTGTCTATTTTCTCTCTCTGTATATTTTCTCTTTGTCAATTTTCTCTCTCTGTATATTTTCTCTTTGTCTATTTTCTCTCTCTGTCTATTTTTTCTCTCTCTCTCTCTCTCTCTCTCTCTCTCTCTCTCTCTCTCTCTCTCTCTCTCTCTCTCTCTCTCTCTCTCTCTCTCTCTCTCTCTCTCTCTCTCTCATATATCTATATATACATAGACAATAGCCAGATATAACCCACTAGGACGCTCCCGCCCGCAGATGCCCCGGTATGCGCCCTGGCCAAGGACGTGTGGGCGGAGCCCGGCGCCACGGTGACGGCCCAGTGTCGCGTGCAGGCGTCCCCCCACACGCCCATCCACTTCTCGTGGGTGTGGGTGACCACCTCGTACTCGCGGCGCGTGGTGCCCTCCCACGTCAACTCGCTGGGGGCGTCGTCGAGCGTGAACTTCACGGTGCCGCGCGACAACGTGACGGAGGTAGGGCCCAACAACCAACTTGGGGCCCTGCAGTGTTGGGCGGAGAACACAGTGGGTCGGCAGGCCACGCCCTGTGTGGTGGCCGTCATGAAGCCTGGTGAGTATGGGGCCCACGACCGACATTTTGTTTTATCAGGGGGAAGCGCCAAGCCATTATGACTATGTAGCACTTGGATGTGGTCGGGATAAGGATTTGGGATGGGACGGGGGGAAGGAATGGTGGCCCAATCACTTGGATGGTCGGGGATTGAACGCCGACCTGCATGAAAGAACACATAATCCATGCACAAAGGACCGTCTTAGTGTATGGGGTTTGTGTTATCTCTCTCTCTTTCTCGCTTCCTGCAGGACGGAGTTCAATCCTCGACCGTACAAGTGCTTAGACACGATTTCTTCTCCCCCGTCCCATCCCAAATCCTTATCCTGACCCCTTTCCCAGTGCTGTATAGTCGCAATGGCTTGGCGTTCTTCCCTCCCTCCCCTCACTCCTTCCCTCCCTCGCTCACTCCTTCCCTCCCTCCCTCACTCCTTCACTCCCTCACTCCTTCCCTCCTTCCCTCCCTCCCTCCCTCCCTCACTCCCTCCCTCCCTCCCTCACTCCTTCGCTCCCTCCCTCCCTCCCTCCCTCACTCCCTCCCTCCCTCCCTCACTCCTTCCCTACCTCAGGTCGACACTCCTAAATACTCACATGATTGGTGTGGGTATTAACCCCCTTTAATTGCCTTGTTAGTGGTAGTTACAGGTGTTTTCTGCCATGTTATGTGGAGTGGTTGTAATGTTTGCTTGTTCAGGTGTTATTACTGGGTAATAATGCAATAATGAATTGTCTCATTATCATCATCATTATTTTTAGTCCCAGCTTCATCATCCTCGTCCTTATTCTACCTCTTCTCATTCCTTAATTTATCTCTTCTCATTCCTTATTCTACCTCTTCTCATTCCTTATTTACCTCTCTTTTTTCCTCTTAACCCCATGATTCTTCATCCTTACTCCTCCCTACTACTCCTTCCATCTCTTCCTCCCCTCTCCATCCCCCTTCCTCCTACCCCTCCTCTCCCTCTCCTCCCTCCCCCACCTCCTTCCTCCTTCCTCTCCCTCCCAGTTGCAACACGACATCGTCGCTTTATTTTTTAATTTGAAAGTTAGCAGAAGGAAGCGGTGTTCCATTAGTCATTCTGCACCTCAGAGCTGCCTGGACCTGAGCTTCCCCTCTCTCTCTCTCTCTCTCTCTCTCTCTCTCTCTCTCTCTCTCTCTCTCTCTCTCTCTCTCTCTCTCTCTCTCTCTCTCTCTCTCTCTCTCTCTCTCTCCTACTCATGTCCACTCTGAAGGACTTGAAAAAATTTCTAAAAATTTATTTTGTCTTGAGTGTTGTACGTGCTTGTATGAGTGTGTCCTAGTGGTGGTGGGGAGGGGGGATGGTTGGTGGAGGGGAGTCGAGGGAGGGAGTGGTGGGGGGGAGGGAGGGAGTGGAGTGGTGGTGGGGAGGGAGGGAGTGGTGGTGGGGGAGGGAGGGAG